CCGACCTGGACATATCATATACCAAACAAAACCCTAACTATCCAGCTACAATTTAGTGAATAAATGAATTAAGTAAACAAAACGGTATTTAAATAAATTGAAATCAAAGTGGTATAGCCATATTCTGGCCGCCCTGTATAACTTATTATTTAACATCTTGAAAAGTGACAAATTCACTTTAAAATATACAATATAATTTTAAAACTTTTGCTCTTGTACAAGTATAAACTACTGTATGTAGGCTTTTGTCTATTTTACGCTAATATATTAATACAGTATATTTCTTTAATACAGTATGTAATAATTAATGGCAATTATTAAGTAATAACTTTAAAATAAATGGATATACTATTTAATCATAGACACTTATACTTTGCATGCATGGTGTTCATGCACATTAATTATTGGGTTAAATATATCAATTTAAAACTCATTACTTATAAATCTAACATTTAATAAGCACGTCAAAGATATTTAATATTCTTGGCTATTATTATAGCATTTAATTTGTTTGTTAAGTAAAATAAATTACGGTAAGTTAAATAATGTAGACATTAAGTAAAATATCCTTATTTAAAAAAGAAGAAACAGTAAACATATACAAAATATTTGAATTTAAAATTAAACATTTAAAGGTGCTTTGATTATTTGACAAGAATTTAATAATAATTCATAATTTTATCGATATAGTTATATAATAATGCAGAAATCAACACAATATGGACTTGATGACAGTGATTATGACATAAATAATAATGCGGATGAATGCATTGAGTGAGTAATGTTATACAAATTAATTTTTAAAGCAAAAAATAATTTATTTAATTAAAGCTAATTAAAAGGAATATGTTTTATATTTGAAACTTACTAATTATTAAGATGTACAGAAAAATATTCAAAATAAAAGTCCAATAAAATGAATTCATAGGAATTGTCAATACCTTAAAAATAACATAAATCTTTGGAGCAAATGCAAGAATAAACAAGCATAATTTTATAATCCAGAATATCATCGTGCGAGTCAATACGCTTGATCAGTGAATTCATGGATACCATAATGAACTCAAACACAATAACAGCTGCCGATGGACTCGAACTCACGTCTCTGTACGAGAGTTATATGGATGTGATTCGGGAGTTACTCATATCGTTAGCTACTAAAGATAAGGTTTACAAATATACCCATGAAACTTTATTGTGCAGGTCATTGTGATAACTAATTTTTCACAATCAGAATGACATCGAAAGGGCCCACAAAACCATTAACTCTCACCTGAGATTGTGCGACAAAAATCGTAAAACTGGTCTAATGTTAACGGTATTGAGTTATGTGAAGACACCTAACTATCATCGATATAGTGATGGTTAGCTTAATATGAAATGATATATAAGTAATAAAATTATACTTTAATTATACTCTCCTTACAGTTGAATCTCACTCCGAGTTACTCTATGCCTACGGAATAGTTTTCGATGCAGTCATCTGTGCCTTAGAAACACATAATATCTTTGATTTAATTAAAATAGCAATTTATTTGCAAAAGTTTATCAGAACTTTAAAGTAACTATTAAAATCTAATGACATACTTTGACAAGGTAGTCTAATTTATATACTTTGACATTCATTTTTCATAGAGTTTGCAAGTTTATATATAAACGTAAAATACAGTGGACTAGTACACCCTCCCAACAGACCTTTGAGTCGGGTTATAAGTTAGCAACTGGCATGGCTCATATATTTATCAGTCTTGTGCCCCCGAAGCTGTTGCGAATTATCAATTTGATAGGTGTCTCGGGAGTGTACTCTATAGGCTTCAATCAACTGAACAAGGTTGCTTTCACGTCCACCAACATGCATGGTCAAATGTGCAAAATGGTCTTGATAGTGTTCTGGACCTTTGTGGAGGCACACCTCTTGACAGCCAAAAACGTAGACATTTGTCAACAATTACTAAATAAGAGCATTGATAACAAGGTTTGAAACGAATTTTAAAGCAAAATGAACCTAGTTATGTTATATCAATCAATGATTAATTTCTAATACAATAGAGTGGTGTTTATTTGGCATTTAAGGCCAAATTGGCCCAAATTAGCGGTAATATCGATGAATCCATTAATATCCATAAGAAACTGATTGCTGATTACGAGTCGGATATCGTTGTTAAGTACTTTTGGTTTGAATTAATGCTTTCAAATGCACTGAAATGTGATGTCAATGAAAGTATTAAATATGCGCTACTCGTCCGCAAAGGGATGACACATTCGCCCGCTTTTACCACTTATTGTGAGGCAGTGTTCAGGTATTTGAAGGGAACGGATGAGTCGGATACACAGGAATTAGAAAGGGCTGTCCAACTATTGGAGTAAGTATTTTATGTTATATGTATGAAATAAAATACTTTTATTATAATACTAATTATATATGACTACAGAATCGTACCGTCCATACGGGTCCGGTATTTCGGTAAATCATTGACAGTGGAGAAGATGGCAGTCATGAGCGCACAGAAGTTTAGTAATACCTCCCAGTGCTCTGTCCTACCAGATATGGTCGGCGTTTATATAGTTTTACTTTATTAAATAATTAAACTTAAAACATGATATTTAAACTTAATTTTTAGGACTTGTTATACCAATTGAATTGTTTGTCATTCATTGCGGGCAATACTATATTATTGGATCGATTTATGGACAGAATTGGTAGAGAACTCGACAAATACGCCAATGATTTGAGTAATCAATTGTGTTATTATTAGTTTTATGAATGAATGAACTATTTTTGGAAACCTTTAGAGACGAGTGAGTATTTGGATAACTATTTAACGGCACTCTTTTATAAGGGAGTCATTCACCGGCTTTTATCACAATATACTGAAGCGAGAAATTGTCTGAAAGTTGTATTTGAAGAGTATGTCTATATAAATGTCAATCATTTGAATATATTTTTTAATCAATTGTCATATTTGTTTCTAAAGGGAGGCCCGATTTGGTACCCCCTCAATCTGTAATGGAGTTAGGATTAGTGGAACTGGAGCTCAATAATAGGGCCGACGCTAAGAAATGGCTCAAGAAATCACTCCACGATTACAGCAATTATATGAATGAAAACTATGTCCACATCCGGGCCTACGCGGCGCTCCGGGAGTTAGGCGTCTCCAGTGATAAGCATAGTGTAGATCAGACCCAATGTAAGTGTATTATACAATGTATTGTAATTATCTTTATAAGATTTATAAGTATATAATTGTTTGTAATTGAAGGCCAGGAGTATAGAAATCAATGGTTAAGGGATATTCGCAATGAAGAGGAAAATGTGGATAAAATACTTGCCAATGAGTTGGAGATTAATGCTTAAAATAGTTGTATTAATTAATAATTATTATCTAAAAACATCGTTAGACACAGCATGTATGCTATTTTACTAAGAAATGGCAATACTTGATATTAGAAAACATACTATTTTAAAATTAATAGAATTTTAATAAGTTTATGAATTTATTGATTATTTACAAAATTATTGTTTGTGTGCAAAATAAACTTCTGATTTGCTAATACTGTAACTTTACTTCGCTAAGAATTCACACAAAATAATAAAAATAAGTTACATTATCTACTTTGTTTTTATTATTATTAAATATTTTATTTAAACAATTACTGTATTTAAAAATAATTATATAGTTGAACGAAATAAAACATTTATTTTTAAAAATAGACTTTGTTTACTCTGAAGCTTGAGGTAGTGTTATCAAGTAAACTAGATAAAGGTATTGTAAAATTATTGTAAGGAGTTTGTGTATAATAATATGTGCCAGTCAATTTCTATTTTTAAAAATTAATTTAATTAATTAACCATCATTAAAAAGATCAATCAAATAACTTGAGTTTTAACTATAATAGGTAAGTCAGTAAATGAAACCAATTTAAACTTTTCCGGGCATATTATAATAAATTAATTAAAGATGATTATATAAGATATTTAATAATCTAATTAAAAATTTATGTTTTAATTTTATAATAAACTATTTGAAGTTAATTAATACTAATTAAAATATTCAAGTTTATAATAAAATTATAGAAATTAATATAAGGAATAAAACATTGAGACAGTTGTCAGTGAAAAGTTCATGATTTATATATATTATATAAGTTTTCAAAATAGCATATCTAAGAAATAACAATGATTAAAACTACACAAAATCAACTAGGTCAGAATGGGAGTGACACAAATAATAATTACATTGATGAAAGTATTGAGTAAGTATTATTCTTAATAGCTGCATAAAAATTACTTGTTGATTAAAAATATAATATTTATAAAGATGGTAATTTAAATGAATCGGGCATATTTTATGATATAGTATATCATCGTGCGAGTCAATACGTTTGATCAGTGGATGCATGGATATGTTAAAGAAGTCAAACACAATAACAGCTGCCGATGGACTCGAACTCACGTCTCTGTACGAGAGTTATATGGATGTGCTTCGGGAGACATTTATCGCAATCCCCACTAAAGATAAGGTTTTCATTTAGTTATCAATTATTTGTTAGACTGTTAAAGATATATACGATAACCAATTGTTAACAATCAGAATGACATCGAAAGGGCCCACAAAACCATTGACTCTCACCTGAGATTGTGCGACAAAAATCGTAAAACAGGTCTAATGTTAACGGTATTGAGTTATGTGAAGACACCTAACTATCATCGATATAGTGATGGTTAGCTTAATATGAAATGATATATAATTTATAATTTAATTACACAAATATACTGTCCTTTCAGTTGAATCTCACGCTGAGTTACTCAATGCCTATGGACTCATTTTTGGTGCAGTTGTCTGTGCCTTAGAAACACATAATATATTTGGTTTAATTAAAATAGCAATTAATTTGCAAAAATTTATGAGAGGTTTAAGGTAATTATCTGATGATTTGATTAAACATTGAACTAACTCATGCTTATCTTGTTAAAATAATAATAATATTGTACATACTGTAGTATACTAAAAACATTTTTGGATCCACTGTGTTTATATTAGCGATTTGTTAATATGTTTCTAGAATGTGCAAGTTTATATACAAACGTAAGACACGATGGATCAGTACAGCCTCCCAACAGACTTATGAGTCGGGTTATAGGCTTACAACTGGCCTGGCTCATATCATAATCAGTCATATGCCGCCAAGGTTGCTACGGATTGTCAATCTTATTGGTGTTTCAGGCGTTGAAAGTATTGGTTTTAATCAATTGAACAAGGTTGCTTTTACATCGACTAATTTACAGGGTCAGGTAGCCAAACTGCTCTTGATGC